GTCACTGGAAAATAGATACTCTTTTGACAAGATGGATGGATTATGTATCATATTCATCGTGTACTTGCTTTAAATGACAACTAGAGTTTTTAAAATTCTGACAGGCATTGTCTTTTTAACTCTATTCATGGAAGTTTGACTTATTTGATACCAGCAGTTCTAAAAATTAACAAAACCACCTTCAAATCAATGATCCGCTCTTTGTCTGCCTTGGTCTACTCACTGTCAGATAAAAACAATAAAGAAAATGAAGTAAGCAGTGATGGCAGATCTTTGAAAACTGAATTTCTGGAAATATTTATGGAACAATTACATGCCAAGCCCTGTGCAAGGTGTTGGGGCATAAAGATGAAAAAGACACAGTCACTGACTTTGAAGAGCTTCTTAATTTAGCCAGAAACACTCACAGTACAAAACTGCCACATTGCAGTGGCATGAACCAAGTGCTATGATAGCCTGCATGGATAAGCGAAGGCTTCACAAAGGAAAACACAGAGCTAGGCACTGAAGAATGATCAGATTTTTGTTAAATGACAGAAAAGAAAGGCAAGGGAATGTGCAAGGAATAGAAATCATGAAAAGTGCAGGAAAATAATATTATGAAGCTGAAACCGTCTTCTTCCTTTTTTCCTCCACACTAAAACAACTGTTTTTATAGCATTTTTTTTTTTTAAGATTTTTTTAAATTGGGGACTTGGGGGAGGGGAACACTGTTGGGGAATTGGGGAAGGAGACCAGCCAAATTGTTGTTCTTCAGTCTTCGTTGTGGAGGGCGCCAGTCGCCATCTGGCTGCCCATTGGCAGCTCGTGGCCTCTAAGCTCTAGGTGCTGTGTTCAATCTTAGTTGCAGGTGGGCGTAGCTACCATCTCATGCGGGAGTCGAACCAGCAGCCTTGTTAAGAGCGCACACTCTATCCACTGAGCCATCCGGGTGGCAGCTCAGCTCAAAGTGCCAAGTTCAGTCTTAGTTGCGGGTGGGTGTAGCCCACCATCAAACAGGCAACCTTGCTGTTACACCAGCTGAGCCATCCTGCCACCTGTTGGCAGCTCAGCGACAACTCAGCTGGGGCGCAGCATCACTGACCCATGTGGGAATCGAACCAGCAGCCCTGTTGCTCAGAGCTTGCACTCTTAAGCCAACTCAACCAACTGAGCCATTCGGCCAGCTCTATAGCATGATTTTTGATAAGTAAAATTTCTTAGGAATTCCATCACTGCATTTTAGAAGAACAGGCTATATCCTGCTCTTCTAAATGAAGCCGGGAATTATTATAAAGCAACAATCTGCCAGGTAGTCTACATGTCTAGCTTTGTTAAACATCTCAGCATTTTTACCTGCCTTCCAAATTTTTAGACTTCAGCTGTTGTTCTCCTTCACTTATTTGTTCTTCAAGTACTTTTATTCTGGCTTCTCTCTGCTCTGGAGTTTCTTGACCAAAGAGCTTGGTAGTCATTCCCTTCAAAGAAAATGTTCTCACAGTCTAAAAGGAAATAGAAACAGATGAATGGATAAACAAAATGTGATGTGTATATACAATGATATATTGTTCAGTCATAAAAAGGAAGGAAATTCTGACACATGCTACATGGATGAACCCTGACATTATGCTAAGAGAAAAATAAGCCAGCCACGAAAAGACAAATACTGTATGATTCTGCTTATAGGAGGTATCTAGAGTAGTCAAATTCACAGACAGAAAGTAAGATGGTGGTTGCCAGGGGTTGGGGGAAGAGGGAAATTGATAGTTGATGTTTAATGGGTATAGTTTTAATTTGCAAGATGAAAAGAGTTCTGGAGGTTGGTTGTACAATAATGTGAAGGTACCGGGGGGTGGGGGGATGGTAGAAGAGGGTAAAGGAGGTCAAATATATGGTGATGGAAGGAGAATGACTCTGGTTGGTAAA